CTTTAATTTTTTATCCTTAATTCTGCACTGTTTGCACTTTATTCTCAATTCTGTAATCCCCATCCAGACCCTAATGGAGGAGACCGAAGATGGCTGATCAGCTGGATCATCTGTTTATAACTTTTTTTTTAAATAGCTGACTTAAAAAGATTTACTCAGCTACGGATTTGATAAATTTATTATCTTTAACTAAGTATATATTATGTTTCGTCGACTCTGGTGTTGTTTCAAGTTTAGTTTTACTCCCCCACTCCGGCCCCTAAAAATGTCCTTTCAACCTATGTATGCTATAGTGCAAAAAAAAAAAAAAAAAAATCGGTGATGCACAATATTTCTATACTTCATCATGAGTATGAGCGACTTGTAAGAGTTTGCTCCATTTGGTAGAAATTGTTAATTTATGAGTAATTACAAATAAGCATTCATGAATTTGGGATACATTACACAATTGGAAAATCCATGATCTATCTTCAATAGAAATATAGGGATTAAATTCTAAAACAACATTGTTTGTTGTGAAGTGTTCTTACTCGAGAAAAGGAGGTGCTTTATTTATTTAAGGTGCTTGTCTATTCAAAAGACAATTTAACAAAGAGTTACTCTTCATGTCTGTTAATTCAATTCCTACATAAATTTTTATATCTCTGTTAGATATGTATGATATCGCGTTTTTACACTTCATGTTCAATTTATCAACACTTCGAAAATGAGACTTAACACTCACACGACGTAAATTGGTCTTAATTATGCATTATGCAATATATAAGTTGTGGTATCTTTTATACCAATGTATTTTTTATACCAATGTAATTAGGTTTGTTGAGAAATAAAGATATACTATATAGATCTTTTATTTAACTCAAAGACGAATTATTTGGCTCAGTCATATGCTTTCATGTCGTATAAAAACAAGCCCTGTTGTATGAAAGCAACCCAGGCCGTATGAAAGAAACCCAATAATAGAATTGTAAGTTCGGCTTTTTAATTGATCAAGACTATTTTTCACATTGTTCGTGCCTTTCGGGAAAACTTATGCTTGTAAAAAATAGCAATATATATTCATTTAAAAAAAAGTACTAAAGTAGTTGACAATATATCTTGAAAATTAAGATAATTGATATAAATATATAACAATAAATTAATTTATTATCGTATGATATATAGATGTGCAATTGATAATTAATGAATGAAATTTTATAGATATTTTACGAGCTTCAACAAAAATGTATTTACCCTGGCCCGGTCTCTATATGCTAATTTCAGCTACGACGTATTGATTTCACTAACCAGATTTCTGCTAAAGTTTTTTTTTCAGATTCTAAATCTGAATAACGAATATTTTTCTATTTCGAAAATCTGAAAACTTTCAACCGAAATGAAAGCTTCCGCCCTTCTTTTGAAATGTGTCAAGTTGCTTGTGCCTTGTATTTCATATCACACTACAATTGTGTATTATATTATTTGAGTTTATTAATCAAGCGTATTGCTTGATATGGAACGAAAAGATAATTTAATTCCTGACTTGGTACAGGCACATTACCGAAAGGTATTTCTGAAAAGTATTTGTATGCATAGTCAAACAGATAATACGATGGTCAAGCAAGTAAAATATAATTACAAATAAAAGTTAAACTTACCAATTATTTGATATTTTATAAAGTAGAAATATGCAATATAATTTTTGATGAATTTTTCATAGTTTAATTAAAATAGTTTTGTAAATTCGGTTAAAAATTAAGGAATAAAGGATACTACACAAAGGGAGGTAATTTAAAATATTCTTTAAAATTAGATACACTGTACGAGAGATGATATTCATTAAAATTTTGCAGCTTTATCAAATAGAATATTGCTAAAAAATAATACAATCGCTCATTACAAAATCTTCTAAATATGAAATCAGTGGAACCCCCTCCCAAAGGAAATTACGAATCCCCCCTTTTTTTTTTTACAAAAGCGTAGTTTCATGTCACTCAAATGTATTAATTCAAAACAATTTTTTTGACGCACCGAAAATTTCTCTTCTTTTAGACCGTGTAAACTAATCAAACTGATAAACGAGAAAATCGGTCCTCCTGGCTTGACCACGCTACCATGTGTTTTTTTGTGGTTTTTTTTTTTCATATTGTAAGTGCAATTTAACCACCCAATCATAGACATAGTATATGTCACGAAAAAGGGTTGGAAAAAAAAGATTCCCTTGAATTTGACAGTTGTGGGAAAGTAGTCCTGCATTTCATTGCAGAAAAAAAAATCTGAGTCATAAACATATATCTTGTGTGTTTCAAAGCATAATTCTTTTTTTGTTCAAGCGGCTGTTCCTATAAAATATTTTTGAAACTTCAGGTGACATGGTAACTAAAGCTTGTTAACAGGAAAAAAAGGGGTGAAATTTGATTGGTTTACTTCCAGTGATGCATGGTTATTATCTTATATGCAATGAAATGTTATGTGAAATTTTCACTGTAGTACTGGACAGGATAAATTTAGCTTTACTCATGCCAAGTATTCCTTTTTTTGAAACAAAGATAAATTCTGCACAATTTTTTGAAAAATGCCAATTTAACAAAGACTAATAGGGGGAGATCAATGGTGGTATTTATAATTTACTCCTTTACCTACTCATGACTACACCAATGTTAAATTACATAGTACATAAGCGGATCCAGGGGGAGGGGTGGGGGGGGGGGGGGGGGGGGTCCCCCGGGCCCACCCTTTTGTGGGAAAAAATTGATTGATTATATAGGCAATCACTGAAGCATGACTGGAGCGTGCCCCGTCTTAGGGCAGTCAGTGCCCCCCTTATGAAATTTTCTGGATCCGCCACTGTAGTTTATGCAGGAAAGTTAATATGCTGATCGAAGCGAACATTAACAAATGTACTGCGGATGTGAAGATCAAACTTTTCGGTCTTGTTGTATGAACCGAATGTCTATTGTGTAAATCTATGGTCTAAATGTAAGTCTGCCTCTTTGAATAGAATGCTTGTAATGTATAATAATGCTTCAGAATAATAATGGGATATCAATATAGATGTCGTGCAAGTAATATGTTTGTCGTAAATGAAGTTACATGTGTATGTCTTTCAACTTTGAAGGAAGCTATGCGAAAGTCAATGTTTAGTTTGTTAATCTGAAAATTAATCAGTTGGTTAATACAATTCTCATATTTCAAAAGTCGCGAAGTTTCCCTGTATTCTTCAACATTGTTAAGAGTATGGTACAATGAGTTATATCTTTTGAGTCCGGTATAAAGATTATCTTATCATAATTAAATCATCTACACGACACTATTGGTCCAAATAATTATGACGTATTGAAACAAAGGCTATTTTAAGTATTTTGGTGTGACACCTTCCCCAGCATAAACTTGAAATAGCCTTTCAACACTTTATAATTATTTGGACGACCATACCTGCATACTATGTATTATTTGTATATAATTATCTGTTTTGCATGTCATTCTCTGTACCTTGGTGTTAATATTGGTTTTTCGAAAAATAAAATATTATAGTGTGCTATTCTGAATTTCTGATATTTTCATTTTTTTTAATGCGAAAAAATGGGGTGGCACATTGATAGTAAAAACAAAAATAGAAAATAAAAAATAATAAATAGCAAAATAAGTAAAAAGAAAATATCAGAAATAAACAAAAATAGAAAATAATGCTCCTGAGGTCATATATTATAGGACTAGATATAATTGCAGACCAGCGTTGGAAGTCTGTACGTGTCCCAACAAGTATATGTCTCGAACAGTCCTCATTCGCCTTTTTTAACTTTTTTTGATTCGAGCGTCACTGATGAGTCTTTTGTAGACGACACGCGGGTCTGGCGCAAATATAAAATTTCAATCCTGGTATCTATAATGAGTTTATATATACGGGTTTTATGGATGGTTCGAGACGTGCTTGTTGGGTTATATGTGCAGACGTTGAACGCTTTTTTACAGTACTACCTTATATTTAAATAATATCGTTAGGATTTGTTGTTTCGTTGGGTTGCTGTCTCATTGGCATATACCACGCATCTGTTTTCAGTCATCAGTATACACAAAAATCCATTATTGCTAATTACTTCCAAGTTTGTGTGAAATGGGTCGTTTCTGTAATTTGCTGACGTGTGTAAAATGCAGTATTTCTTTAATTTGCTAATTGTCATGGTGTAAAATGCAGTATTTCTGTAATTTGCTTATTGTCATGGTGTAAAATGGTGTGTTTCTGTAATTTGCTAATTGTCGTTTTAGGTGTTATTCCGTTTATCATCTTTACGCACTATTCAGATAACATCATATGAATTAAAGGCGACATAATTGTTGACAAGGAAGTTGTCTTACATTTTATACTTATTTTAGCATGTTTCAACGTATTATTTGTTCATACTGAGTAGAAGACCATTCAGTGATTCCTTTTTAGCGCGGAGGGAGGGGGTTGTGTATTGGATCAATGAATATCCTCGCCTGGTACATGTAAAAAAATCTTACCAAAGACATGTGAGAATGAATACTCTGCCCGAAAAAAAAAATCTTCGTGCCAACCCTCCCCCTTTTTTTTACATTAAAGCAAGTAGTGAACACCTGAGAATCTTCACTGTGTTATGCGTTAAATTCATTAAACGTGTTTCTTTGATATTCGTGCACATTTGACATGTTATTAGCCTGTATATCTGGGCAGATTATTTCTTTAATTATTGATGAATTGTATACCGATTCTTTAATTGATTAATCTTTTTTTTCCACGGAATATGTATTGATTCAAACAGTGTTAAAGACATTTAAATGAGCCGAAATATTAATTGAATATTTTGTTTATGATATATACTAGTTCTTTAAATTCCATTCATCTTTTGACTGTCTTTTATTTATTAATGCTTAGGTCATAATCTAGAATCAACGCAATATTGTAGACATTTCGTTGTCTTGAGGTCACGTTTTTCCGTAAGAGCAGAAACCATACCTGTTTGACTCATTCACCCGAATCACGATTCAACGTTTCATAACAATAGATATTTGATTTTTTAAAATTATGAATGGCTAAATATAGTATAATTGCGTGTGAGTGTATGAAAAGGGTATTTAAACGTAAAAGTTATAAATGGAATTACTTTTAAAGTAGCCACCTGTCTGTCGAGGAAGAAAACAGTTTATAGGAATTTATAATCAATTTAATTCTTGGTATATTTGTTCCGGGTGGATATTGATACGTTAATTGTAGTTACAACTAGAAAAATCAAAATGAAGTTTTTCTCAATTGTTTTTGTGTTATGGATTCCAAATATTTCATGTCTTCTCCGATGGTCATCTGACGACAACGTTGAATACAGAGGTAGGAGTGTGTAAAATTCTTTATTCCTAATTTTGAACGCGATTTGTACAATGAAGTGGCTTTAAATATATTCAAAAGTAATGGTTAACGAGTTAGTTATACTCGGTAACGCTAATTAGACTTTTTCCATAGATATAAAAAAAGAATAGGTGTGGTATTAATATAAATAAAACAGAAGTAATATAAAAACAAAGGATATGGGGTATCCATCCATGACACAAAATCAGTACATGCACAACAAAAAAAAACAAAAAGAAAAAACACACAAAAATTGAAGTAACAGCGCTTTTTTTGCTGTTCTTCATCATCACAGTATATTTTGTGCGTATATCATGTATATGTTGTGTACAAGATGTAAGTTTGTACAAATTATGATTTGAATAGAATTTTTGTACAAGTTGTAAGTGTTTTATGGACCGCTTAACACAAATGGATGATACAAGCACACAGTCTTTAGTTCCACATGTTTCTGTCATATTTTCACGACTACATGATACAGTCTAATACTGAGCATTGATACAAAAAACATTATACGAACACAAAAAGACTTTTAATGGATTTGATTTTGGTATAAGGAGACAAATAAAAATAGAATTTAAACCATTCAGGTGTCCTTATTTCCAGTAAAAGGACAAGGAGAATAGCACTAAATGTTAGGTTGAAGTATATATATTTGAATTTAAGACACTTAGCTGATAAATTTTAGAAGATAAACTTTTATCATCTGGTGCAAAAAGGTATGTGTCGAAACACTTGTACAAAAACCCTGTACAAATTATAATTTGTACAAACTTACATCTTGTACACAACATATATATAACTTAAAAAATATTTTTGTATCTTGTAATTTATTTTTTTTTTGTATATTTTTCTGCCTCCATTGTTTTCAAGTGACAGTCTAACATTACCATCCTTCTTCCCTGTCGTTCAACGTTGCATGAAAAAAATACATAGTGTATTGATTGTTAGTAGTTTCACATCCTGAATGGGCATAAGTTAAATGAAGTTTAAGAAGAAAGCAACGAAAACGAAAACGTCCCCCTTATGGAGCTACATTTATGGTTAATGCATAGATTTTTTCATTGCCCAACTCCAAACGTTGACTAGTTTGGAGCCCCCTTTCCCAAAACCCTGGATCCACATCTGATAACATGTTCCTTAAATATTAAAAAAAAAACCAAGATTGAATCTGCAACAAGCTACTATTTTCATATACAGGATGGTCTGGATAGGGTGCTAACACAGAATATAGAATCATTAACAATACGGCAAACGATATAAAAATTAAGAGAGAAGTATGCCAAACAAAAGAGGATAAAGAATAATTGGTAGCTTAAATATTAAGAATAACGAATAATGGGCCAAAAAATAATGATTCAAATAGAAAATAAAAATGCCTAAAAAATTAAAAAATACTGAAATTAATTCCCCTCCCCCCTCAATCCAGCCAGACCCTTATACAGAAATATTGTATAAAGCCTTTATGAGGTATTAGCAGTGTAAGTGTGCTAAGCACATCCAATCAATCAATCAATCAGCAAGTCAGTCTTAAGGAACAGTCTTTTAAACAACAAAAACTGAAGGATGCTAGTTTGTTTTGCAATTATCAATTATCAATTATCAATTATCAATCTAAAATTATTATTTGATTTATTTGATTTTCTCTGATGATAATAATTTACGTCACCCCAAAAAACAAGTGCATGTTTATACTATGACGGCCTACAAGGTATGTTTTCACTGAACTAATACACATTTTTGTTTAGGGGCCAGCTGAAGCCCGACTCCGGGTGCGGGATTTTCTCACTGTGTTGAAGACCCATTGGTGGCCTTGGGCTGTTTTCTGCTCTTTGGTCGAGTTGTTGTCTCTTTGACACATTCCCCATTTCCATTATCAATTTTATTAGACACGTTACTGCATGATTAACTTATATTAAACGTGAAATTGCACTCAAAACAATATACATAAACAAGTCACTATATAGAACCTTCTTAAAACGAAAAACCATTCTTAATTTTTGTTCCAGGTTCATATTGATTCTTACTTTTTAGTATCAAAATGAAGTTTTTCTCTATTATTTTTGTGCTACGGATTCCAAATATGTCATTTTTTCTCAGATGGTCATCTCATGACAACATGGAGTACAAAGGTAGGAGTCTGAAAAATAAGATTTCTCAATTTTAAACACAAATAGTATACTGATAAAGTGTCTCTAATGCCGAATGTTTTCAAAAGTAATGTATACGATGTAAGTTCTAAAAAACGACATTTAGAGTTTTCCATAGTTATAAATAAAATAAATGTGTAGTCTTAAATTTGATGAAACATTCTTATTATATTTTGTGTGATGCGTAGGCCTACTTAAAAGATTATAGATTGATATTATATAAATAGCGGAACGTAATCAGTAGAAAAAAAATGACAGATCCTTGTCCATGTTTTTAAGATATTATCATATGAAAATTTGGCGGGAAATGATTCTCTCTAGAATTTTCTTCTATTTAAAATGGCACTTTTTTTCTTTCATAAACTATTATGAAAAGATATCAAGGATTTTTCAAGATTTTCAAAAAAGCCTTTTAAACTATATGAAATAATATTGAGAAAAGAAAAGTAGGAATTAACGGGCATAATATTTATTGGCACTACATGGATAATCTAGAGGATTCCGAAAATCTGACAAAAAATCAAAAACAAGAGTAGCGAACATCCTTATCCCATTGTTTGTTTTTTCCAAAGGTTGGACTGTTCTGAATTTTTCTATCCATTCTCCCGACGCTCAATGTAGACACATCTTGACCCCTAAGCTGATATTGCATAACTGACATCTGGTACCACACAGATAACATATTCCTAAAAAAGTAGAAAAGCAGGAATGAATCAGTAACAAGCTAAATTTTATATACATATGATGGTCTGGAAGGGGTTAACAGAATATACAGCAATGGACAAGAAATTGAGAAAAAAAAGGGGGGGGGGAGAGAAAAGAGAAAAATAGACCAAAGAATAAAGAATAATGGAGTGATAAAATATTAAGAATAATGAATAATAGGGGTGATATTAAAGAATAGAACGAAATGGCCTAGAGTATAAATTACTTTAACCAATTGTAAATTATGTACAACGAAGTAATATTTCAACACAATTGATAGTAATAATAAAAAATATTTTGGAACTAAAGCTATCATGTATTGTCTTTCGGATAAGTTAATTCTTTTTGATTAGCAACGTCATCCGATGCAAAGAAAATTGATAAAAACATGTAACAATTTGCAATTTTGTTTTAAAATGACTTAAACAACAATAATTATATAGAGCTAAAAAGCATTTTGTGATTTTATGTTAAAATGTAAAATTGTAAAACTATATTTTAAGTATATAATACAGTCTCTTAAATCATTAATTCCTAGTAGGATTTGACAACTTTTAACTTTTGACCCTGTGAGTGAAAGAATCACAAGGAAAATTCGCCCTACCTTTTTGTAAATTAAGATGTTTAAAGTGGATTTATTATTTCCTTTGTTGATACGATCTTACCTAAACTATTAAATTTAAAAGTCGTAATGTATATTCTTAGTATGAAAACATCTGGTATCAAGTTGAACAAAGAGGTACAAGACACTTGTATTAACAAAACTATACTTTTTATACCATTTGATATTAAAGAATAGAACGAAATGGCCTAAAAAAAAAATGGAAATGAAGACCACCTCACATCCAGTCCCATAATATACAATGTAGCAATGAATACATCAGTCAGTTAGACTTACGGAAAGGTCATTTAACTAAACAGAGATGATGGGGGGCTAGTTCGATTTTTGTATAATTTCTAAGTTTAAATTACTTTAACCAATTGTAAATTATGTACATCGAAGTAATATTTCAACACAATTCATATTTGACAATTGATAGTAATAATAAAAAATATTTTGGAACTAAAGCTATTATGTACTGTCTTTCGGATAAACTAATTCATTTTGATTAGCAACGTCATCCGATGCAAAGAAAATTGATAAAAACATGTAACAATTTGCAATTTTTTAAAATGCCTTAAAAAACAATAAATATAGATATAAAAAGCATTTTGTGATTTTATGTTAAAATGTAAAATTGTAAAACTATATTTCAAGTATATAATACAGTCTCTTAAATCATCAATTTCTAGTAGGATTTGACAAATTTTAACTTTTGACCCTGTGAATGAAAGAATCACAAGGAAAATTCGCCCTACCTTTTTGTAAATTAAGATGTTTAAAGTGGATTTATTATTTCCTTTGTTGATACGATCTTACCTAAACTATTAAATTTAAAAGTCGTAATGTATATTCTTAGTATGAAAACATCTGGTATCAAGTTGAACAAAGAGGTACAAGACACTTGTATTAAAAAACTATACTTTTTATACCATTTGATATTAAAGAATAGAACGAAATGGCCTAAAAAAAATGGAAATGAAGACCACCTCACATCCAGACCCATAATATACAATGTAGCAATGAATACATCAGTCAGTTAGACTTACGGAAAGGTCATTTAACTAAACAGAGATGATGGGGGGCTAGTTCGATTTTTGTATAATTTCTAAGTTTAAATTACTTTAAACAATTGTAAATTATGTACATCGAAGTAATATTTCAACACAATTCATATTTGACAATTGATAGTAATAATAAAAAATATTTTGGAACTAAAGCTATCATGTACTGTCTTTCGGATAAACTAATTCATTTTGATTAGCAACGTCATCCGATGCAAAGAAAATTGATAAAACATGTAACAATTTGCAATTTTTTAAAATGCCTTAAAAAACAATAAATATAGATATAAAAAGCATTTTGTGATTTTATGTTAAAATGTAAAATAGTAAAACTATATTTCAAGTATATAATACAGTCTCTTAAATCATCAATTTCTAGTAGGATTTGACAACTTTTAACTTTTGACCATGTGAATGAAAGAATCACAAGGAAAATTCGCCCTAACTTTTTGTAAATTAAGA